ATAGATGCGGATATAGATATAGATATAGGTATATAGATGTATCACATACGCAGATGTATGTCTGTGTATATACATATATATGCATATATATATATATATGTATATATATATATATATTTATTTATATGTATATATATATATGTATAAGCATACTCTCTGGCTACCACCACAATCATCCATGTGCTGAGCCTTTGACCATCATCTTTGATATTGCTTCGTCCTTTCTGTATCAGTGTCCTCATCATCTTCATCGTCATCGTGAGCAGTGGGGTACGGCACATCTCGGCTGGAAGGAGGCACTTTTTGGTGCATCAGCGGCATCAATTGCAGAATCCTTTGAGCGGTGCTTTCACTACAAGTTTTCTTCACTGGCATTACGCATCGGATCTGGGATACGCCTTTGTCCCAGCTAAGGATGTGCTTGCTGGTAACATAGGCAGCAACAAGAAAATGAAGTTCCTTGGCTCAATGATAGCTTTCTCTTAGCTGAAAAGATCCGCAAGCTTTGCGCACCCAGCATTAACATCACTCTCACACCGCAACGGAAGCCTCAAGAACATAGCAAGGTTCAAGGCTCTTGGAGACATGCTTCTGAGCATTGACACAGCTTCCACATTAGTGCGTGCAAGTTGGAGCTATCCTCGTAGCTTTAACCAAGCCGTACATAAGCAAAACCGAGACCCGAAACAGCCCTACAGTAAGCCCGAAACCTGCCGTGAGGCAGAAGGCACTCGTGCCCCAGTACGCGGCTCTTGGTGTGGCGCGGTGCACATCTCGCGGCGCGCGCGCGCGTGCGCATCCCATTTTGAACAACAGCCGGATCCGTCCAACCCAGATGCATGGTAAATTTCCATACGTTGTTTTTAAGTTTTATCATGACCTCCAAATCCCTCTGAATCCCCCCAGTAACCACTTGGGGTAATTCATGAGCATGTTAACCATCCTCACGGGTGGAAGCACTACAGCGCCGTAACGGTCGCCTTGGTGGCTCTCACAAAGTTTCCCTAGAGGCCCGCTTGCCTGTGAAGCACAGCCTGCCCGTCTTGGCTCAGTTTGCGGTATATAAGGCATGAGGGTTCAGGGCCCATGGTCAATTTCGAGACCGGGCGGTCATGAGTCATGACTTTGGCTTGTGCAAACAACCCATGTACAATTGCCCTGCGAAGGTATGGCTGCATGGGCGACCCCATGAATCTAGCCAGCCGACTTGAAGGCAGCAGTGATCAGGGCGATGTTGGTTTAGGGTTTCGGGGCCTCAGGAGTTCAGATGGGTCTAGGGTATTTTAGGGTCCAGTCTCGCAGTATGTGGTTGGGTTGGGAGCCCCAAACCCTGAGCCTGAACCCTGATCCTTCCTCTTGCGAAGGCCCCCGCCCCCAAGGCAATTCCTGAATGCGGGAGAAGATGCATCTAGGAGCGTTTCCATTATGTCAGCTGGGTTCCTCCGAGCCCTTCAATAAAGCATCAGCGTAATATACCACGAAACCGTATTCTAATGACTCGCTGATCGCAAGCCTTTCAAAGGCTTTGCTAGGCTTTGAAGGAACCCTCCAAATAGACCCCTATTCAGGTTTGTCTTTTTAGGGTTTAGGGTTTAGGGATTTTAGCGCAGCCCACGAGGCCTCGCCAAGCACTATGGCGTCGGCACACTCTGCTCGGATGCGACGCGCACGACTTTGCCGAACACCTTCCTGTGCTTCCGCACGTTTCGGGGAATTCGGGAGGGGTACTATGACAGCTCAGGAGTATAGGTACAAGAGCCTTAGCCATTGCAAGAGCTTTGCCCTTAAACTCGCAAACCCGAAATCTAAGTCTCCCTTTTGCAACTGGCTTGCAACGTCACGCCAGGACAGCTGACTCGTTCCATGATGCAATCTAAGTCTCCCTAAACCCTGAACCCAAAGAGCCTCTATCCCGAAGCCTTAAAGCACTTTTCAGACTCCAGTCTCCCAACCCTCCCTGGACCCGATAAAACCTACCTTGCAGACGCTAAGAACCTAGCTTCTTAAGACTCCATGTTGTGATTTCCAGTGAGTTCGTTACAGAAGCCCTTATAAGGTAGGGAGTCAGGCTCCAGGTAGGCAGCACCTACAGTAAATCCTGGTAGGGCCAAGTGATCGAAAAATCAACGGTCCGAGAGGGCACAGGGTTGCAGGCGTTTCGGCAATCGAGATTTTTTAGGATTTCGGGTTAGGAGGTTTAGGGTTTCTCACTGCATGCAAATATCTCTATACTGCCCTCGTTGCCATTGCTCTGCTAGTACTCATAATGCAGTTCATGCTGCTGCGACCGTTCCCACAAGGTTTAAGGCCCTTCGGCTCATGGAAAACGGGATGATGGGTGTAGGTCTTCTGGTTCACCCTGACTAAAACTAACCCCTTGCAATGACAATGCATATAACAATACGGACCCTACCGTATTGCTGCCCTGAAGAGAGAGGCGGGTTTATGAATCATAGGTCTACACCATGTGCCAGCTAATGGTAGTAGGCACTCCATGTTCAGTTTTTTTGTTTGTGTTGGTGCGGTTTATCCTTTCAACTCCTACCAATTGGTTAAGCCGGTTAACCTTGTTCTCAGCAAGACAAGCAGTCTACGGATAGGGTCAGGCGATGTTGGTTTGATTAGAGTTTCGGTTTAGGGTCTAGGGTCTACCCATAGGCCCCAAAGTAGTTCCTTTTTGGGATTACCTTATAGGATTCTAAATATGAACCCCAAAAAGGAACTACTATGGGGCCTATGGGTAGTCTCGCGCTGTGTGATTGGGAGCTTCATAGCGACTCGTGACGGTTTCTCGTGAGCATTGAGCTTACTTTGCTACGGAAGACCGATGCTCAGCATGTGTTGCTTGGTTTTTGGGATCGAAAGCAATGCTTGCAGACATTTTTGGCACAAAAGAGTTGATGATCTTGATCGTGGGGACATACAGAACAACCACTTCGCTCTTCACGTTATGTGAGTGGACCGCTGGCTTCGTTCTTCGGGGTTGAGTATCCGCTGCAGTTGGCAATTTGGCACTGGGAGACTTAGAACTGAGATGACATGTCCTATCAACCGAGCCGGAGGCCCTGAGGAACACACCAAGAAAGATGTCGCACCCGAGAGCGAAGTAGGTTCGAGTAGGTTTCGGTTTGAGATCCAGGGAGCTACCTATTCAGAGCCCTGGCTCCACAAGTTGTCAGAGGCGAGCCCAGATCAAGCAGCTACCTGGAACCCATCCGAAGGTGCAGAAAGCTGGACTTAGTCAAGGTGAAGGGCAAGGAAGAGGCTGTGTGGGTCTACGCTGCCTCGCTGCAGCCGACAGGGGTAAAGATTTTAATTTACATGTCTCGGATTCCCATCGGTTTCGAGTGGCATTTGGTTCGGAAGGGCATGCCTGAAGTTCCTTGTCTTGGCTTCCGACTGTCCGCAACCAACAGTTCTGCGAACCCGGGAGCTTATTAGCCGATCCTAAATCTTAAGACTGGTGACGTTAAGTACGTGAGCTTCAGGTGGTCTCGGTTCCCCTGTCGAACGCGCCTGCGGCTCTAGTTTTGCAAGAGTTGCTGCCAGTGCAGTAGAAACGGGTGTCGGGAGACGACACAACAGAGAGTGTGTGCAGCGCATATTAACCTTGCAAATGGGAGCCCATATGACTCCGGCTTAGGGTTTCTAGGGCCAATATAACTTATGAAGCCCAACAGCCCTAAGCAACAAAAAAACATGACGGCTTTGAAGTTTGGGTCTCCAGTCAGCGGCCTAGGGGTGGCTTGAAGTTTGGATTTTGGGGGTTTGTTGCCAAGAAGTTGATGAAGCGAAACGAACGAGATTAGATCCAACTGGGAAGGTAGTCGTCGGCATTGCACACACACTCGTTTCAACTACCCATGGCTGCAGACTGTCGAGACACATCAGACTCGATTCCGGGTCAGTCTGGCACGGCAAGCCAACGCGATTTCACAGTCGAGCAACTCGCCGCGGCTTTTGGGTCAACGTCGATGCCTTTCACGGACTCCGTGGCAGTCCACCACTGCCGGCCGTGTGTGCTGCTACACACACAGCGTGGCTGCGGGCGTGGTGCTGACTGCCCTTACTGCCACGTGCATCTGGAGCGACATGACCCTGGCACACAGCCACATCGGCCTAGGAAGTCACTGAGAAGCCGCGTGAAGCGCGAGATTCAAGAGCTCCTGGAGCGTTTCGACATGTCTCCCAGTCGAGTGCACGACGAATGGCAAGGCATCGTTGAGAGCTGCCCCTATGCCCGGAACTTCTTGTCAGGCCTCCTGGAGCGTGCAGATGCAGCGAGGTACAGAGGAACTCGAGGAAGACAACAGCGAGCAGCAATACCAAAGGGAGGCGTTCCGCAAAGAGTTGAGGATGCAACTTCCAGTGACCGTAGCACGACAGCTCAGATAGAGTCCGTGCTTTCCGGCCAAGTGCCGATTCAGAACGGCATGGTGTTCCGTTTGTGAGATCCATTTCTCTTCAGCTCCAGCGCGAAATAAATACAAATTACAAGTACAATCTACACTTGCGGACAAATAGTTATTGTGGTTTAATCAAAGGGTTCACACGTGACCAGAAGGGTTTGTTGCGAATGCCTGACTACACTCTTTGACAGGACCTTCTTATCACTTCCAGTGTAGATTCTTTACTCTGGGCTTTACGATATGATATGCTAGTTAGCCGAGAAAGGGACCACATTGACACTTTGTGCAGCACGCACGTGTTGACGAGCCTGTTCAAACGGTGTCCGTCTGCCCTTACAGAAAGTGGTTGAGAGCTGAGGACCCAAGCTTCGACTGTAGAGATACTGAAGTCTCAAAACTTCGGTACTTTGGAATGTGCCGAAGACTACATACATCGTCAGACTACATACTTCGTCAACAAGGTAGCTCCTTTTTCCTCTGGTCAGGCTACTACACCACTAGTCTAGACTGTAGCTCTAGGCAGGCACGTATATCAGCTCAAGAAGAAAAACCCTGCGAGCTCACTCCATCAGCCCCAAACTAACCTGAAAGCATTTTGTGGTCCAGGGCTAAAGGCCGCGTCGAGCGCTTCTGTGCTGGGAGCTGGGGCTGGTGCTACGCATAGTACTGATGGAAACCTGACAAATGGCAGGCCTTGCCCGCATTCTTGCAGCACCACCGATTGTTCAACAACAGCTAGGCAGTTAGACATGCATTGCCTGCCCCTGGTTGTCGTGGACAACCGTTTTCCCGTAAACTGAATACACTTGGCACCGGGCGAGTTGGATGCCATGACCTGGTTTCGACAAAACCTCTTCGGCAGTGACACAGCCTGGAGCAGCTCGAGACCTCGTCTGGACTGTCTGATCGTGAGAGAGACTAAACCCTGAGTCTGCGCCGTGCATGGTGTTTAGTACCAGAAATGGAAGTAGCAGCTATGTACGCCAAAGCCCCAATCCAAAAAATCAACCAAACTGATTCTACATGTTTGGCCTCTCTGGGTTGTAGAGGTTGTTCGCAAGTGTAGTTTGAGGCGCCTCGTCTGTTTAGGGCGTAGAGGTCATGTTGGAACGAATCGGATTGCCAGCAGGCACTTCGCGAGCGACCCAGGGACCGTGTTCAGCGAAATGTTTGTAGTTCCGTCTAAGTCGGCGAGGGGGAGCAAGTGCTGCAGGTAGTTCAGCGAGGAAGTTGTCGATTTGGTGAGTGCCAAAAAGATGCTATGCTGATTTCAGTGGCCACTTGAGCATCTATACGTCCGAGCTACGATGTAGAGTTCAGGGTTTACGGGTTAGGGTTTACACATCTCAACCCTAAGCCCTCAACCCGCAGGGGGGGTGATCTTTCCATCCATGTGGACCAGGAATGGGGGGGGGGGAATGCCGAAGGTTTCCTGATCAGTTCTGCTGATGCAGATCCAGCTGCAGCTTCAAGCAGGCAGCTCCTAGAAATCTGAGAGGACCTGGCATTTCCGGGGAGCTGCCTCATACTGCCTTCGACCCCATACCTGTATACTAACCCCTAACCCAGAGTTAGCTGCTTCTGGCAGCTTCTGGCATGGCATGTCCTTTCATTTCAACAATTCCCTTTCGGATCATGCTGCTTGCAGCATCTGAAGGGAAGCGAACAAGAATTCGAGGTATACTTGCATGTTTACCATCATCGTCACCAGCGCGGTCATCATCATAAGCTTGATTTCCACCAAGCACCTGGCACCAGCATGCAACGCGAAGCCACAAGAGCACCATTACACCCTAAACCCCCCCTAAACCCTAAACCCTAAACCCCTAAACCCTAAACGAAAAAAAACCCTAAACGGCATAATGGCGACGATCTCGAGCCACCATGGTGTGAGAGGCGACCTCCACACTCTGGCGTGAGTTTACGGCCAGGGGGACCCTGGCTCTTGATGACTTTTTCAACTTGGGGTTTAGGGTTTAGGGTTTTAGGGTTTAAGGTTTAGGGTCTTCAAGGACCTCCTACAGTAGAGTACCCCGTGCAAGATGTCATACAGACCGGACCACACCCCGCACCCTAAACCCGAAACCCGAAACCCTGAACCCTGTCGCCCCACAGGGTTTAGGGGTTCCTTACATCCCGGAGTTCTCGACAGTTGAGAGAACTACATCTGCCTGCATATGTGAAAAGCGAAGGAAGGAGCATGAGTTGTCGTTGAAGACCGGAGGTCTTCGATGAACTGACGGGACAGTGAAGGCCAAGAGATACATGCAGGGTCAACCTTGTACTGCAGCTTCCGGCGTTTGCCCCCAATACCCTGTAGTTAAGGAATATACCTTGAATCATAACGGGATTTTGATTACGTATGTTTTAAGTTATGTTTGTCAATCAAGGGGTATTGAGCCCTCTGTGATATAGATGTAAGATGTGAGGTGTTGCGGCTCCTTTCTTCTCATTTCAAGCTGCTGGTGGGGACATGAACGGCATTGAGAACGCCAGATCAGCCCCTGTAGCAGCATTTTTCGTGCAGAGAGTCTGCCGGGCTTCCCTAGCACGAGCTTCTGCAACGGAACTGATGTCTGAACCCTACACCCTGAACCCTAAGCCATTCTGATGTCGAAGTCGGATTCTTGAAGCTCTGGGTGTGTTTAGGGTTTCTCAGAGGGGTTCTATACTGAGAGCTCCGTAAAGAAGGTTTCTGGGGTTTTTCTTTTGCTATATTGACGTAGAGGGTTTAGGATTTCCTAGTTACAAACTCTGTAGATATGAACCCGGTGATTTAATCATTTCCGTCATAACATGGAAGTTTTCAGTGCCATAGCTTTACGAAAGGGTCACTGCCGCGGTCGGAGGGCTGAAAAGCTGCTGGAGCTCGTGTGTAGCCCACGGCGCATGCTTTCTCTTCAGCAGGACACTAGCTGCACCTGAGGGGCAGGTCGAAGAACTCCAGGCTGGGGCACGCACATCAATGTAAACGGTTGTAGGGACCTCACCTTGTAACCTTATTAAAACGGTACCTTCATGCGCTCTTTTGGGGTTCATAGATTTTTCTAATTGGGTTCCTTACATCCCGGAGTTCTCGACAGCTGAGAGAACTACATCTGCCTGCATATGTGAAAAGCGAAGGAAGGAGCATGAGTTGTCGTTGAAGACCGGAGGTCTTCGATGAACTGACGGGACAGTGAAGGCCAAGAGATACATGCAGGGTCAACCTTGTACTGCAGCTTTCGGCGTTTTCCCCCAATACCCTGTAGTTAAGGAATGTACCTTGAATCATAAAGGGATTTAGATTACGTATGTTTCAAGCTATATTCGTCGGGCCGTGTGTGATATAGATGTAAGATGTGAGGTGTTGCGGCTCCTTTCTTCTCATTTCAAGCTGCTGGTGGGGACATGGACGGCATTGAGAACGCCAGATCAGCCCCTGTAGCAGCATTTTTCGTGCAGAGAGTCTGCCGGGCTTCCCTAGCACGAGCTTCTGCAACGGAACTGATGTCTGAAATCTACACCCTGAACCCTAAGCCATTCTGATGTCGAAGTCGGATTCTTGACGCTCTGGGTGTGTTTAGGGTTTCTCAGAGGGGTTCTATACTGAGAGCTCCGTAAGAAGGTTTCTGGGGTTTTTCCTTTGCTATATTGACGTAGAGGGTTTAGGATTTCCGGGTTACAAACTCTGTAGATATGAACCCGGTGATGTAATCATTTCCGTCATAACATGGAAGTTTCCAGTTCCATAGCTTTACGAAAGGGTCACTGCCGCGGTCTGCGGGCTGAAAAGCTGCTGGAGCTCGTGTGTAGCCCACGGCGCATGCTTTCTCTTCAGCAGGACACTGGCTGCACCTGAGGGGCAGGTCGAAGTCCAGGCTGGAGTCCTGCACAGAATCGCAAGTCGCATCCTTTCTTGTACCCTAAACCCTACACCCTAAACCCTAAACCATGTCGGAGGAAAGCAAGAGTGGTCGGGATTTTTGAAGCTTTGCTGGATAAGCCTGAAGGAGCGCAAGCAGCACTTCATAGGCACATCAAGGTAAACCGATGTAGGGAAGCGCTCTCTTGGGGTTCAAAAACTTTTACAGGTGAAGCACTCCAAAGACGAGTCCGAGTGGTCAGTGTCGCCGTGGCCTCGCGGCCTTGGTTGTAGGCAGAACGCGTGTGTTCGAGGAGGTTGCCGGTTAGGGTTTGGGTTTTAGGGTTGGGTTTCGTTTAGGATTTAGGGTTTAGGGTTAACGGCCACGTGCTCCGGCCGAAGGTGCGTGGAGTACTTGGCTCTCGGACACGAGGGGGCTCTCCGCCAGACTCGTTACAAGTTAGCCGGTAGCGGCTGGATCTGAACCAGTATTATACTTTCGGTTCGAGGTCCTCTGCTGACCTTTGTGCAAGCATGGTCCTTGCTGCACTTAGAAGCCTTCACCACAACACTTCGTGACCCACCCAGAAGGCTGGACAAAAGAAGTTTTATTGCTTGCAGTGTTGATGTTCAACTTCGTGGGTTCAGCCAATTCGATATGCCTCCGGTGAAACCTACGGTGTACCTCGACTCTTTCTGTTGTAGTAGCTTTTTGTTGGATACACGTCTCTTGCTCGCAGTAGCACAGGTTGACAAAGGCTTGCTCTACAAGGCGACGGTATGTATTTTTCTATACTTGGAGGTTCATGGGTAGTTATAAGTGGGGTTAGAAGTAGGGTAACTATAGCTATAACCCATAATAGCGGGCTTATAACCCTACTTATAACTACCCATGAACCTCCAAGTAGGACCTCTCGGAAGTTGGAGCCCGGGTTTGGGTTCACAGAGCAGCTCACTTTGGGCCGGACTCTGACTCGCGAACATTTTGACTTTTCAGCAATATGATCGGAAGCACTAGTGATGTGTTATTTCCTTATGGTCGCTAGATAATTCTCGTACACGATATGTCCAAAACCCTATTCTAGCTATTGAGGACCCTATGTCAACGAACCCCGACGAATGTCCAGAGCCTCCTGTCCCGTATCTAAAACTCTCCGAAGCAAAGAACCAACGCATCTTTGTGAATTTGGACCCTAAA